CAGATGAGGGAGCAGGACCAGGGCCAGGAATATCTTTTATAGAGGGTCCTGGAGCAGGCATGAGGGCTCATTCTGGGTCTAGGAGGAGAAAGAAGTGATGCTTACACATTAAGGGTGCATGCCTGATTATTCCTGATATTGATATTGTTGTCTCCTTCTCTCTTCTCTCCTTGGAAAGTCATGAAAGATTCCAGGCTACCCCACCAGATTCTGGTGCCCAGAAGTTATAAAAGACTTCAGGAAGAATCTAGCCACTGGGTAATGGTTTCAGGGACCAAGGTAACCATGCACCATTTCTTCTTAGGAGACTATAGGTCACACCTCCAGGTCTGCTTTATAAGCTGGTGGCTCAGGACTGGGGTTATCTATTTTCATATAACTGGAAGGGAAGTATATGTTGTAATAAGCAGAGAAGCATTCTACAAGAAAAAACTATCAGATAACTAGCCTATTGCTTGTGGAAGATAGAGGAGAGAAATAAATGAGATGGGTAAGGTCCCATGCCTGGCAAACAGGAGAAATAGTACCACAAAGAGAGAGCATGTTTTTGAAGCGAGTAGGTGTTGTGGTAGAATTAGTTTGATGTCACAGCAAAACCTTTGCGCCTTTAGGAGACATTTGGCAGGATCAACCTACAGAACAGTGACTTTCTAGGCAAAGGGGAGGTAATTTAAAGGGAGTGTCTCAAATAACTCCCAGGTCATTCTTCTAATAACATTTCATTCATTCATTCATTAAGCTAATCAATATTCCACCACCAATTCCTAGACTCCCCAGGAAAAGAAACAGAGAGTAAGACCTCACTCAGAGAGCTCAGGTTCTGGCGATGCAATCACTGTGGATGTAGACCCCAGAATACCTAGGATTCTTTTGCACAAAGGCCATGGGCCTGATGCCTCATAGTGGCTGACCATATTGTATCATAAAAAGACATACAGAACAATATTTTATCCCCTGAAACTGGCTGCCAGGGGACAAGACACCCATCAACCTTGCAGACTTCTATCCAACCCCTCTTTCACACATCTGTGCTGTGTGTGGCCTTGCAAGCACATGTTTTGTACTCACTACACACACACACACACACACACGCGCGCTCATCAAGGCACAGCCAATCTCATTATCTTCTTTCCTAGTTGCTACCAACTTTATATCTCATTATCTTCTTTCCTGGTTGCTATCAACTTTATATCTCATTATCTTCTTTCCTGGTTGCTATCAACTTTATATCTCATTATCTTCTTTCCTGGTTGCTATCAACTTTATATCTCATTATCTTCTTTCCTGGTTGCTATCAACTTTGTCAACGAGAATGAGGAACCTAGCATGACATCATCTAGGGCACTGTCAGGTGGATAAGTGTCTCAACAATGTTCTTGGGACGTAGTGACTCAGAAGATCCCAGGCCCAGGCCTCATCTTGTGAGCACATGGATTTCACAGTGGTCTCGAGAACATCCACTGGATTGTGAATTCCTAGAGCTCCTACACACACCTCATTTGTCTCTATAAACTTCAGTATTTAACAGATGTGCAATGAACACTTGGTAGGTGATAAAACAGTATCTTTTTGATTAACTACTATGTTCAGATACCCAAATATTTTACTCTTGACCTAAAAACTCTCAAGGGTTGATGACTATATATGACACCAGAAAAGAAACAAATTAAAGGCAGGGCATCTCTTAGTTGGATAGAAATATAAGGATCATATTTTCTTACTCTCTAGATGATCAAAGCTGTATTCCAAGTTCATGCCATACCGTAGGTCCTCAGTAAATGTTTGGTCAATAAATGAAATAAATCGATTAGTGGATGAATCCAAAATTGTATCAGATTCCTTACTCTTCTATCATTCACTAACAAAATTGAATAAACTGTTTGATTCCCATCACCCTGTTGACTAGAAATAATTTTACTTCTCAGAGTCCTGAAGGCATAATGTATATTCCTAAGAGAGTTACAACTAACCTATTTATATAGTATTTTTAAATAAAATTTCTCAGGACAGGAACTGAATATCGTCCATCTCTACATCAGGCTCTGCCTGGGCAAGTGCCAGGACTCATCACACATTCTTTTAAAAACTGACATTGTTCAAGCATCTTTCTTGTGTCTTCTCCTGTGCTAAGCCCCACTTAATGGTCCCAACAATTTAGGAAAGAAGGTATTAATATCCCCATTTTATGGTTGAGGATTTTTATTGTTTACATGAAGTCTTTGAGGTCACTCAGCTCATAAACATGGAGCTATAATTTGAACACTGCTCTCCTAATTCCAATTTAAGAGACTATTGCCTTATAAGAAAAACTGTCTTGTAACATACTAGGCATTTTGATTTCTAGGTGAAGAAGTTTAGTCACGATCATCACCGTCATATCTGAGGAAACCACTTTGATCCACCTAATAGTTTTGTTAGCAAAAATCTGTGGGCTGCACAGGGACATGGACTGAACAGGAGGCCATCAGTGTGTGGAGGAATATGTCTGAGGAAGGAATGTCCCTGATGGATGCCCCAGAGAAGCCAGCCCAACTGTGCAAGCAGGGCTCAGAAGACCATCCTTGGGGAGGGGAGGAAGATGGAATAAAACACTCCCACAAGGAGGCTGTAATATGGATCTCTGGTTTCCTCACAAGTCATGCCCTGAGTCTTTGTCCAGGACCCAGCCTCAGAGAGGGGTGTGATGGGCTAAATCCCCTCTAGACCCCAGCCCCAGAGGCAGGACCTGGGAGCTCCCAAGGCCTCCTTGGAATGCAGGGACCAGGAGCAGGGGAATGCCAGGAATGGCCAGTACATGCCTGGTTGTGCAAGAGCCACTCCTGCCCCTCCCGGAGCTAAGCCTGGGCCCTATAAAAGACAGAGCCGGCTCTGGCTCCTCATCTGTTCTGCTTCTCCAGGGCCAGCCTGTGCTCCTGTCTGTGACCAGGTGAGGGGGAACCTAGGAGCCCAGCAGGATCTGGGCAGGAGGAGGGGTGGAGAAGACGCAGGGAGGCTGTGGAAAGAAAGCCATGCATTTAGTTAGTGCAGTGCTGAGCAGGAATATGATGCAGTCTGACTCGAGCCTCTGGAAATCTTGCCTTGGGCTGGGAGCAGTATGGGTCTTACAATTTTGTCAGAGACTTATTCTTCTATTTAGAGAATGAGTTCTCTATTGGGGTATAAATCCTTTATCAAGTTCATGAAGATTAGGAAATACTGGCTATCTATTGAAAGATAGAATAAATACTTCTAATTATATATGATTTTTCAACCACATATTTTTATTTAGGGGGAAAGATTTAAGTTGTTTCCTTTGTATCTATCATAGATGATACCTCTGTATCTATCTATGTATCTATGTATCTATCTATTAAATATCATTCACCATCACTATATGATTTAATTTTTAAAAAGATAAAATTACCGTCTTTTGTTTTATACAGCTAAAGAATTTACTATCAACTTTCTGTTTGAAAAAGTCCCACCAAGATGTCCTGCCAACAAAACCAGCAGCAGTGCCAGCCCCCTCCCAAGTGCCCACCCAAGTGCACCCAAAAATGTCCTCCTAAGTGTCCCCCCAAATGCCCACCCCAGTGCCCAGCTCCATGTCCCCCTCCAGTCTCTTCCTGCTGTGGTCCCAGCTCTGGGGGCTGCTGTGGCTCCAGCTCTGGGGGCTGCTGCAGCTCTGGTGGTGGTGGCTGCTGTCTGAGCCACCACAGGCACCATCTCTTCCACCGTCGCCGGCACCAGAGTGCTGAGTGCTGTGACAGTGAGCCTTCCGGAGGCTCTGGCTGCTGCCATGGCTCTGGGGGCTGCTGCTGACCCAGGCCTTGGATGTTTGGAGAAACTCAAGGCCAGGACCTGCCCCTGGGTGGGATGACTGTTCTCCTGCTCCCTCTCCTCCTCTTCATGTGACTGGCTCAGCCTGTGAAGTGTGCTCTGTTCTGATGACCCAGGTGTTCATCCTCGATCCTGATCTTCCCCTTCTTCTTTACCTCCTACAACAATAAAGCTCTGTTTCTGCTCACTAGTTGTCCTGTTCATTGTCAATCCTTTCATTCTTTTCACTTTTTAGTATGCTTTGGTGAGAGTCTGAGAGAGGAATAAGCTAGAAGCCATTTCTAAAGGGCAATCATAGAAGAGCAGTCTCCCAGTGGAGCTTCTCAGAGGGGTTGCCTTTGTGCACTCCAGGCCTGTGAGATGTGCCTCCACAGCCCAGGAAGTTGCCAGGAGGGCCTGCAAGCCCTGGGGCTGAGCACTTTTGGCCTTGAGCAGCGTGATCTGTTTAACTCACAGTGCTCTATGTAAATTGTTTACATTTTCTCTGCATGCCATGATGATAAAGTTTGAAAAGTCTTTGGAATTCCAAGTAAAAGGGTGTATTTAACAGAACTCCCTTCATTTGATTTAAAATGCTTGGCATGAGATTGGAACACCTTAGGGACAATTTTAAATGACAGCTCATCACCATAAGGAGGGGGAGTGTGCCCAGTTCTTGCTTCAGTTTATGTTCCAGTCTTTCCCCCAGACAACTGTTAAATAAATATTCAAGCAACATCGGGCTGAAGGAGCACCTGAGTATTGAGCCTGCCTCGTCTCCTGACTCAGCCCATGGCTACATGAGACAGGATGAAACTGGGTCTCACTTTCATTGTTGCTGCCTGGCTCACTGCTAAGGCTCAGGCCTGGAGGGTGAGAATGAGAATTATCAGGAATACCGTTCTCCTGTGGGTATAAAATAAGCTGCACAGTTACCCAGACTGGGGTTGGCCTTCCTTAGATCCTGATCTTCTTGGCTCAGTCACTCATAGAATTTTTGGACAGAGAAGCAGCTCGTCTGGATGGTTGGGGCTCTGTGCCTTGAAGGGGGGGTGTAAGGAGAGGTAAGGGCACTCCCAGGGGATTCAGAAATCATAGCCTGTCACCCAGGCTGGGCGGTGTCTATGTGGGGAGATGGTAAAGCCCTGATGAGATTGGGCTCTCCAAATCAGGCATTCCTGTCCCTTCTTCCTGATGAGAGCGATGACACTAATTGACATTTCTGTCTGTATTCTTCTGCTCTAATTCCTCCATGTGATGCTTGGGACTTCTTGTTTTCTTTGCTGCTTTTTGTAATTATTGCCACTCTGTAGGTAATGATATGTCTCTGTTAATTTAATTTGAAATTTTCATATTAGTAATTTTGAGTCTATTTTTGTATATGCACTACACACTTTTTTTTTTTTTT